CTTGGAAGAAAAAAGAAAAAAACTAGAGCGCGCAAACAAGGCTTCCATTGATATTCATTCACAGCCCTGACATGGCTTCTAATGATGTGCATGAGTGGGGCATTCAGAAAGTGCCTAGTCAGCTCAACAAAATATGCATGTATACTACTCCCTCTATCCCGAATTAGATGACATGTCCAATATTTACATGACTTTTTTTTAACTTGTTTTATACTTAATTTCATTAGTCGATTGTTAAAATAATATAGTAATGTAACTTTATTTCAAGGAGTTGTTTTTAAATATGTAAATTTGATTTTTAATTCTCTCATAATTATATTTCAAAATTAATTGAAAATAACTTTGATTGAACATTGTAAATTGAATACAAGTCATATAAAATGGGACAGAGGGAGTAATTTACAACAGTCAACAAGTAACCAATGATACATGCAGAGAACTACTCACTCTTTCTGCACTCTGGGCGCTCAAAGAATTATAGGCTCTAACGTTTTAAAGTTATAATCCATAATAGGTTGAATTTCTGATCCTAAAATAACAAGTCCAAACGAGCAACACCATTGAGAGTTGAGACTCCAAATAATCACCACGACCGAACCACCACATGCCCAGCCTAAACCCATAATTATCACTTTCCTATATACTTCCTCCGTCCCCCTAAGATATTTTCGTTTTGACTTTTTGCGAGTTTTAAGGAGAGTTGAAAAAAGGTGAAAGTTTTTCAAAAGAGCAATGCTGAGTTCACAAACAAAATTGTCACAAACTTCACAAACATACCATTTTAGATGAAAATTCTTATTTTAAAATTATTTTAGGGTACTTTATTTTTTCATTGAAGTTCACAAATAGTAAGTTTGTGAAATTTGTGACGGTTTTGTTTATGAATCAAGCATCTCCCTTTCCAAAATACTCTCATGAAAATGGGTGGGGTGTATTAAATAAGGTGGAAAAGGTGTAATAAATAAAGTAAGTGAGGGTAGTTGTGGTATTTTAAATGTTAAAAAAGGTAATGAGAAGATCTATGTAAGATAAATGAAAAGGGCTAATGAAAAAATCTATAGGGACGGAGGGAGTTACAAACTATAAATATGTACAGTAAAATAAAATCACTCCCTAATTAATCCTATGATTGGCCGAAGCTACACACAGAATGGGACAAAGAAATGACTTAGAAAATGCTTTACTTTAGGAAAAGTTACATTAACTAAAGTAGCTTTATCTTTATTTATTTTTTCAAAGTTACTTGGTGTCCACACTCTAATTTAGCTTTCCCACTTTGTAATTATATACTACCTCCGTCCCATTGTCTTTGTCCAGTTTTGACTTTTGGAACTGTTCATCTAAGCACTTTGACTCATCAAATTCTCTCAATGTATAAGCCTAAAAATAGTCATGTGTGATCTTGTTTGATTCGTCTTAACATATAGATTATTAATATATAATTTTATAATTTTTTAATATACAAATTACAAGATAAAATAAATTAAAGAAGTGCATTGGATGGTGTGCCAAAAGGTAAGTGGACAAAGACAATGGGACGGAAGGAGTAATATTCTATCAGTATAGTATTTCCTTTCATTCCCTTAGAGCATGGGCAGTGGCGTGTCAAAGCCACTGCCACGAATGCCACATCATCCAAATTCCTCTTTTTCCATGGCAAACCATAGCAAGGCAACTTGCAAGCCATGGCAAGTGCGAGCCATCTTTTCTTTTTTTGTTTATTTTTTTTGTAAAAGAAAGAAGTTTTTTTATCTAATTTTTTTTAGAGGCAAGTAAAGGGGATTAGAGGCATTATTTTCCATTTTTAAATTTTTTATTTTTTCTACTTTCTAATCTTACTCTTTAAAAATAACTTAACCCTTTTTTAGTTGTCTTTCTTTTTTTCTTTACAATCTATTTTCTTTTTCAAAACAATCTAACATTTATTTGAGACTAAAAAAGATTCATTTTTAAACATTAATTTTTGATGTGAAATTATATAATTTAATTTAAAAATTTAATTTTCTCTTTGTACAATTAAAATCTTTACAAGAAAATGCAATAATTTATAATAAAAAACATACATGGACTAATTAAAATATGTCAAAATGTTAATATTGCCAAAAAAAGATTACAATTATTTTTATTTAAAAAGGTAAGTAAATTAATTTTTAATAATTAAAATATAATAAAAAGGTGTAAAAATGATAAAAAAAAAAAGTGACTTGCCACTGCAAGACATGCCACTCCACTCATGTACCACACGCTGACTGGACTTGTTTTGATTGGCTAAAACCACGCCCTTCCCCATTTGTAATAGATATTTTTTAGCAGCTCTCAACATCTATCACTGTATGTTTTAAGTGCAGAGTGGTCTTGAACAATGGATGTGGAGAAATTTAGGATAGCTTCTTAGAACCAAGTTGATACTCTTTTAAGTGTTTTCTTCGAATAAATGTGATGCTTGTTCAAACAACTTTCTAATAAAATACTACCTCCGTCCCAGAGTATTTGTCCAGTTTGACATTTTCCAGTCAAATTGGACAAACTTTGAACTCCAATTACTCTCAATTTGTATTATATATTAACATAATGAAATACAATTTTGAAAGTTCTCAATACGATAAATCCAATAAAGTCATTTTTATTTTAAAATACTTTACGATTTTTATTTAATTGAAGCTCAAAGTTTGTCCAGTTTGACTCGAAAAAGTCAAATTGGACAAATACTCTGGGACTCGAAAAAGTCAAATTGGACAAATTTTGAAGCTCAAAATTTGTATTATATATTAACATAATGAAATAAATTTTGAAAGTTCTCAATACGATAAATCCAATAAAGTCATTTTTATTTTAAAATACTTTACGATTTTTATTTAATTGAAGCTCAAAGTTTGTCCAGTTTGACTCGAAAAAGTCAAATTGGACAAATACTCTGGGGCGGAGGGAGTATCTCTTAAGTGCGTGTTAGGAGTCTAATCTTATACATTAGTAGCAGTTATCAATGTGAGAGTGAAGATAACAAGCCCCAAGTTAAGATAAGAGTGCGTCATACTCCGTTCCAAATTAAATTGCATGTTTACTATTTATAAGGCCAAACTTCATTCACTTTCTTATTCTATTTTTGTAAATCATTTAATAAAACAATATAGTCATGTCACCACCAATTTTATAGATCTTTTAATGTAGTTTTTAGATATATAGCTGGTCTCATGGTTCGGCCTTGATTTCATGCCCTTTTTGAAACAGTCTCTGCCTTTTTTGGAACTCAGATCTACACATAGGTATGATCAGTGTTGGTAGTGATGTCACTCTCGGAGGGGACGTGGAGATGCAAGATGATTGAATGCTTACTCGCTATTTTAAAATACTCGAATTAATAATTGAACTATTTTGAAATGTTTGGACTTTTATTTAAATGTTTTTGAATTAATGAATATGTGGATACCAATTTGGTAGGATGGTAGCAAACTGATCCGCTGACCCATGTACTCAGGTTACACGAGCTGGGTGTTACAACAACAACAAAAATAACCATAACTTCAACAACATCAAGAGCAAGAACTACAACGACAACCACTATGACAAGAACGAAAACGACAAGAGTGACAACGACTACGAAAACAACAACAAAAACAGTATGAACACCAACAACTATAACAACAAAAACAACATCATCAGCAGCTTCAACAAAACCGACGACAATAACGACAACATCAAAACGAGCACCGCTTTACTAGATTATTTTTTCAATACTTTTTTTTTCGTTGTAAAATTGTTCTCAGTGTGACATCTATTTATTTTACGTGTTTTTATGTCATTTTTGGCCCAAAAGTTGGGTGCCTGGCCGAACTAGATGGGGGTATAGCTTTTAGCCAACATGATTTGGGTGGGGCTGGACAACTATTCACTATTAAGTTCGATCCAACCCGAATTCTTGTTTGCACAAGTCTACTTAGGCTCAACATACTCATCACACGCATTGCAAAACTCTATCATTTTTAACACCCAAAATCTATTTTACGATTAACTTACAACATTTAGAAAAAAAATTGGATAAAAATGATGCACTTTCATTATATTGTTTTGATTATAGGATTGAATGTTAAATTTCACTGATGGTACCTGAATTTTGTAGGTTATTTCTCTTCGCTGCCTTAACTTCATTGGTGTTTTTATTTCTTCTTTTTATATTTTTTCATTGTTTTTAGTATTTGTTCTCACTTCTTTTTCATTTTTTTGTATTTCAAAAAAGGAAATTTCTTCCTTTTTCAAGTTCTTATTTATTTTTTTCGAGAAGAAAAGAAGTTTATGTACCGAAGATAACCTTCAAAGTTTAGGTATCATCCATAAAATTTTCCATAGGAAATTTACCATAGGATTGAATGTGTATGAGATAAGGTGCATTCTAAATAAAACCAGTAGTTAGATACGGAGTAGTTCGAAACATTGAATAATTGTTACAGTACCTATGTACTCCGTATTTGTTTTTTTGTACAATTTGAGTATTAAAACATGTTACTATGTATTTGTCTTGAAATCCCTCGGTGTTGAAATTATCTTCTGAGTTTGCGTTGTAACAATTTTTAATAAAGTGACAGGAAGAAAATTGTGTGACGGAGTACGCTTTGGTTACCTATGCCTTGTCTTGTACAATTTGACTTACAATTTGACTGATAAAGATGTTAGTTACTCCCCCGTCGCAATTTAAATCGTTTGTTACGTTTTACAATTTTTTGCTGAACTTATTTTGAATAAAATTAACTTTAGAATTAGAGTGGAATAGAAAAATAAAATTTACATATTAAAAAAACTAGATCAAAAGCTCTATGAAATAAGAAATGACATGACTATATTATTTTATCAAATGAATAATGAAAATAAGAAAAAAAGCGAAGGAGATTGACCTTGTGGATAATAAACATGCAACACAAGTTGGAACGGAGGGAGTAGATAATACAGAGTATGCTTCCATATTTTCTGATGTCCATGTGAAATATGTAAGCACTTTTTATGTGTTTACAATGAATCTTTTTTTCTTTACTAAAAGCTCAACTCTTTCATGGTGTCATAAAATGAGCCTTGTGTACCCAACAATCACATAACAATTTGGTTTAGTTAATTGATGTATGACTATTTTGAATCCCGTTTGGCATTTCCCCTGTCGCCCTCTTTGTGAATTACAGCACTTGATTGCATGGTCCAATGTCAACTTGTGTGCCCTTCGAAAATCCACCCGCACATAGTTGGCTTTTTAATATAGAAATCTTCTTCCAGAAATCCAAACAGGTGCACTTGCCCACAAACCAATTCACAATTGTACAACTTACACATTGAATCGATTGAAGAGATGCGGTCACAGATCAGAATAAACACCTTTAACTTCTTTGGGTAGTTTGCTTTCTTGAATAAACAACATACATGGGGTCGGAACGCCCAGGGTTTGGAGATATATCAACAGCCTAACAGAAAAGAAAACAGGGCACACATATAGTAACTTCTGCAGAGGCAAGTAGATTGTTCTTTATTGGCACTAAACACACCTTAAAATCATCCTTAGTTTCTAAATAATGTCTCAATCAGATTATTCTTAAACATTTGACAATTTTCAAACGGAACAAATTGGAGAGATACCTCGGGTGGTTCAAACCCACCAGCATAATGGAAGTATGAGCCTACTATCACAACATGATCATCATCTCCTGTTGATGTCCATAATGATATTGCCTTTGTCCAAAAGCATCGGTTTGAGAAACTAATACACATATTTAAGAAGTCCCAAAGTAAATATTAGATTTTCTCCTAGTGTGTGAAGCAAGCTAACTGTAAAATATAGAGTTGAGAAATAAAAAATTTCTTCTTGAACAGTGACTATTAAGACTTGGGGTTTCATGATATGTGAATAGCTAATTGCCTTGTCTGTATTTGTTTTTTTAAGAGTATTATTCTATCAATGTGAGGTGACTTAACAATGACAGGGTAGAATACTGCTACCTTATAATCGCAACTCCCCTGGGTTTAAGAATACGGTACATCTCTTTGAAAACATCAAAAGGCTTTGTTAGATAGTCAACACTAACCTGCAAAATATACATTTATAGAAAAGAAAAATTCAAACATTGCACCAAAATGCACAGAAAGAGACAGTCAAACAAACCACTTGTTACATGTTTATGCTATATAATTTGGAAACTTAGGTCCTATATGTATGAGCCTTCACCGTGCATATTACTAATATTTCATTTTCGCTTGCAAGTTTAAACTGTACATAGAAGAGAGAAAAGCATGCATGTGCTTGAAGTCCAATGGATATGTGTCTTGAATGATCATACCGTGTTCGTAATGACATCAAAAGTATTATCTTCAAATGGGAGTATGGGATTGATGTTTAAATCTTGTACAACATATTCACTTAGCACCTGCAGATTTGACAAAATCGTTTAATGAAAAAGATGTTCCGCGTAGAACCCTAAGTATGTAATTAACTTACTGGATTTAACTTTAGCTCTTCTTCATTCATGCCCAACCCAACAATTTTATTCTGCTTATACCCTGCCGGGTAGTGACTGACCTATATAAAATGAAAGCGGGTTTCGACATCAACCCAAAGAAATGTTTTGAAGAAGAAAATATTATAAATGTGGTGAAGGAAGAAAACCTCACCCAACTGCTACACATATCAAGGATTGCTACACCCGGGGTATTCGTGGGAGGCAAACTCTCCGAGTAATATCTAGTAAGTGCAGCAATGGCTGGATCATCAATATGTGTCACGAACCGAGGGATTTCATAGAACAACGAATCCTTTGATCTGAAAGTTAGAGTTTAACTCAACTACAAGTAATAATTACTCACTCTCAACCTTATTATAAGACACACTTCACCAAATTACACAAATAAAAGGAGGCAATCAATTTGGAGAGTTTACTCATCAAACCGCTCGAAATCCGCTCTCTTGAAAGGAAATTGTTTGGTCCAATTCACATTCTTCAGCACCTTCGAATCAACAATGTTTTAAAGCATGAGAAATGGGATTGGCTGGGGGGGGGGGGGGGGGNAGAAGAAGAAGCCAAGAACGATTTCCCTCCAAGATCGGCAGCCATGAACAAGCCCACTCCGAACGACAACCTGCGACTGGTCTTGTACCCAGAGCAACAGCAGCCCCTTCTCTTCACGAGAACTGCTTTTCGTGATGTCCGATGAGCATAAAAAGAAGAAAGGCAAAGGGAAGCGGCGGCCGTCGCAGGTAATGGTGATGAATGGTAAACGCTAGGTATCAGTAATCTCAGACCGAATTGCTTCGTCATTCCGCGAGCTTTGCCTATATGCCGCCTTCATTAGATGTGCGGATATGCCATGTTTAGAATAGTCGGTACCTGCGTCAAGAGAGTAAGCAGATGAGTCTCGAGTTAGAAATTTGGAGGGCTTTTCCGAAACTTCCTTTTAAATAATTTAGCTCTGCTTTGAGTGGAAATGATTTATTCTTTTTGGCATGTCAGCTTCTGCTTTTCACCACAACTATTTTGTACATAGAACACCATTTTGGAGAAGCAAGTATGAGGTGTTTTTGCTTTTAGCTTTTGTGAAAATTACTTTATCTACAAGTTAATCATTCCAAACACCCTCTTAGAATGAAGAAAAGGGATAAAAGCTCTAGATCAATTGTAACTAGTTAAAGAAAATAGAGTAAATTACATAAATTGTCCCCTGTTATAGTTTGTTTTACTTATTCAGTCCTTACATATCAAATATCAATAATTTAGTCCTCAATTATTATATTATTTTCCATGAATGGTCCTTTGTTAACAGTTAACACTTCTGTTAAAAACGTGGATAAAATTGTAAGTTCACGTTCTTCTCTCTCCTCAACTAAGTTTCCTCTCTCCTCTTGCACTCATTTTCCAAACTCGTCGCTGTGTTTGAAGCTTTGAACCCAAAATCGAAATCATTTCTCTCTCAATCGTTCGTCATCCTGGTAAAATCCAATATCGGAACGAGTAACCTCGGGACCTTAATGTGGAAAACCTACTCATGACCTTTTATGGAATTTAATCTTTCAATGTGGTTCGATCAAATCGTATAATGACCTAATTATGTAAACCTTCACCTGATCTTAAGTTATATCATAACTTTTACAACAACAACAATCTAGTTGGATTCTACGAGAGTAAAGTATGGGAAGGGTGCGTGTACGCAGACCTTGTCCTTACTTGAAAGTAGAGAGGTTTTTTCTAAGAGACCCCCTACTCAAACTGTACTGATATAAAACATCATATGCACTATATAAAGCGGAGAAATTAAAGCACAGATAATGCACAAGGCACACATATGCAAACAAAAACAAGAGTGAACAAAGGAAAAGTAATGCAATCAAGGAGCACCAAGTATACAATTACACAAGGCATGCAAAGCACACAAGTACAGAAAACTACCCTCTAGCCAAAGGCGCCTGTCCAACTACTCTAATCCCAAGTCTCCAAACACTCATATTTAGGGCCATGTCCTCGGAAAGGGAAACGAATCCTAAGTCATATCTAATCACCTCCTTGCAACTCTTCTTAGATCTAACTCTTCCCCTATTTCTACCCACAACTATAAGCCTCTCGCATCTCCGCACTGGGGCGTCAACGTTTCGCCACCTCAACCTCCCCTCCAGTAACTTAACTTCAACAGGTGTCATGCCTACTCAACCTGAGATAACCTCGTTCAAAATCCTATCTAACCTCGTCTGCCCACACATCAACCACAATATCTGCATCTTCGTAGCATGTACTTGACGAATGTGAGTTTTCTTAACCGTCTAACACTCTTCCTTATACAATATAGCTCTTGTGACTACGGACCGGTAGAACTTACCTTTGATCCCTGGCAAAATATTCTTATCACACAAGATCGCTGAAGCCAACTCCACTTGGCCCAAGCTACTCCAACACGATGCACCACATTCCCGTCTAATTCTCCAACTGCCTGAATGGCTGAGCCAAGATACCGCAACTTGTCAACCTTCAGCACTGGATGTGAATCAATCGTGACTTCCACCCCTTCTTCTGTTTCCCGACAGCTGAACTAGCACTCCATATAATTAGTTTCGATCATGCTCAATTTGAGTCCTTTATAGGGAAAAGCGCCAAAGTTCATATTTTTGTTTAGTCCCTCGTGAGTGTCGTTGAGATAAGCACAATATAATCAGCAAAAAGTATGCACCGGACCTCTCCTTGAACTCCCTGCGGCAGGACGTCCATCACCAGAGCAAACAAAAAAGGACTAAGGGAAGATCCCTTGTGTAACCCCACCTTTACAGAGAAAGGTTCAAAGTCACCCCTGATAGTATTTACCCTAGTCCTTGTCTCGTAATACATACCCCAGATCGCACAAATGTACGTGGCCAAAACACCTTTTGACTCAAGACACCTCCAAATAGCCTCCCTTTGAACCCTATCATAAGCTCTCTCGAAGTTAATAATTAAACACCATATGAAGATCTTTCTTCCTAGGGAAAACTCTCTAGATAGGAGTAAAAAAACTATGAAAATACCAAAATAAGAGTCATAAGTGTTTTAAGACTAAAATAGGAGTTCATACTGCGACTACCACACTACCACACTCACCACATTATAATTGTCACACTATTACCGTACCACTGCCATCCATCGCCGCTGGCCACCAGAGTGCCGCTACAGATCGCCACAGTTGACTAATCACACTGACATATTACACTGTCATCACTTTTCAAATACACTATCAACGCGTATTCCTACACCACACTGCCATTATACTCCTATTTTGGTCTAAAAAGACATAAGAGTCCTATTTTAGTATTTTTCAAACTTTTTTTACTCTTATCTAGAGAGATTTCTTTTCTTCCTGACCCTATACTCCTCCATCAACCTCCGTAAAAGGTGAATGACCTCTATTTTTGATCTACCGGGTATGAAACCCAACTGGTTCTTGGAAATTCATACCCACTCAATTACTCATTCTCAAACTTTCATGGTTTGGCTAAGCAGTTTGATGCCTCTGTAAATCTCACAAATCTACATGTTTCCCTTACCTTTAAACAAATGGAAAAACATGCACTCCCTCCACCTTCAAGAGTAAGACATATCAAAATTTTCTCAAAATATCTCGAAACACATTACAAAAATCCATTTCGAATCCAAAAAATACCATCAAAAATTGAATAAAACATTATACTATCATAAATACGGATTCTACTTTATTATGAATGTATCCTACTTTATTTTAATTTTTTATTGATAAATTTATGAACGTTAATTAAGAATTGTGTTTTTATATTAAACTTTTAATACTATGTATAGTATATGTTCTTAGAGATATTATTTTTGAGTATGTTTTTGACATAGTTTCAAAGTTTTTTATGATTTTTGTTATGATTTATTCTCTTTCATTTGTGAAATACAAAGTTTTCATAAGCATTTCTTAGATTTAAACTCTTTACGCCTTTTAGTTGTCATGTTTTTTTTGTTTACACACAAATTTGAATTTTCAAACACAGATAAAAAAGGTTTCATGTTAATATTTTTAAGTTCTATGTAAATTAGATACATAAGTATTAAGCTCAATTAGTACTAAAGCTGATAGTGGTGCATCTCGAGCCATCTCTAATCGATATTTCAGGACCAAGATGTATGCGATATAAAATCTAATACTGAATTAAAATATCCAATAACTTGATATTAATTATTTAAACCGATTGAAATGTGATCGTTGTTTTTAGCTTTAACAATCCAAAGTTAAAACGTACTCCCTCGTTTCGTCCCGAAAATATACCACAGTTACTATTTTGGTCTTTCGATAACTTTTACTTATTTGTTTACTCATTTTGGTTGATCATTTGATATAATAAAATATTTTTATCGTATCTTGTTTTTTAAAACTTTTGATATACGTTTGACCGATGCAATTTTTACTTTCTATTTTTCTTCCAATTTTAAAATAAAATAATTTTAAAAGAAATGATATTTTAAACGTCATTTAATTTGAAATATGGTAAACAATTTCAGAGGGAGTACGTGAGTATAATGCAAAAATTACTCAAAAATCAAAATTCCAATATTTATTAGGGACGTTCTTCCCAAATAAACTCTCAAAATACGTCCATAAAAATACTACGTGTTTTATTTTATCAAAAAGGTCACCATAAAAAGTGGAATTTTATTGTCCTTTTCCAACGTTACATGTTCAATACCTACCGTTAGAGAAGAAAAACAAATTTCGTTGTAGTCTAGGTGGTTAGGATACTCGGCTCTCACCCGAGAGACCCGGGTTCAAGTCCCTACAATGGAAATTCTTTTTTTTTTAACCAGGGAGAAAATATGTGACGCCATGTTTATCTTAGGAAATATGTGACGCCATGATATTCACACTCTACGTTTTCACATCAATTCTTCCAAAAATACCCCTCATCCAAATACTCCATTCTCTTTCTCCCCTCCATTTATTCATCTTTTTTCACTTTCTCTCTCTCCCCTCCTCCCTCTTTTCCAGCTTTCTTCTCTGACTCCTCCCTCTTCTTCTTCTTATTTCCTTCCTTCCTTTTCTCTGCCAAATCAATAAATTTCTCCTCTCTTTGTCTCTCTTTCCCCTCCCCAATCTTCTTCTCTATTTTTTCTCATCCCTTCTTCTTCTGGGCAGATCTGGCCATCATCTACTCCATCTTCTATTCTCTCTCTCTCTCTCTCTCTCTCTCTCTCTCTCTCTCTCTCTCTCCCCCTTGTTCTTTTTCTTCTTTTGATTTTCTCTGTTTTCCAATTAGATCTGTGCCCAATTAGATCTATGAGCGTCCTCGACTTGATGGTAGTGGCGATTGGAGGAGATGGTGGCGGCCGTGGGCATGGTAGAACTGGAGGTGACGGAGCTGAGCCAGTGGTGGTGGCGACGGGCGGCGGGTATCGGCGGGCGGGGTGTCTATCAAGTGCAGTGGTGGCACCCAGCAGAAATCGTAGGTCTGCGTTTTGGATTGGGGCATTGAAAGGGCATTTTAGTCCCTTCAATCACTAAGTCAAACTTTCTTTAAAATGAGTAAAAGTCAAAATGGGAACATCATTCCCGGACGGAGGGAGTAGTATTTTGACCGAATGAAAGTTTTCCATTCTGAAACTTTTTCAATGTAATATATTTTTCGAAATCAAGTAAAAAAAATTTAACACGATTTTTAATCAATGGACAACAATGCCAAAAAATTACTGAAACTTTTTCAATGTAAGAGTATCATTGTGATCTAGAACCAATATTTTTAATCGTGTCTTTGCCTTCACTCATGAAACAGTTACATAAAGCTGACCATAAGTAAATTCTAAATTAGTGAAAATAACACCCGGGGGAATGGTCATTTCAGTTTTGGGTTTAGAGCTTCAAACCGTGCGACGAGTTTGGGAAAGAGTACGAGAGGAGGGAGGAAGCTTAATTGAGGAGAGAGAGAGAAGTATGAATATACAATTTTATACATGTTCTTAACAAAAACGTTAACAAAGGACCATTCGTGAAAAATGATATAATAATTGGGGACTAAATTAGTAATATTTGATATATATGGACTAAATATGTAAAACGACATATAACTGGGGACCTTTTATGGAATTTACTAAAAAAAACTAGAAAGGGTTCGAAAAAAATTGAAGATGATATAAAATACTCCCTCCGTCCATTATTTTCTTTCTCAGACTTCCAAAAACTTCTTTCCCGTTTCTTATTTTGGCAACAACTTTTAATAAATGTTTTATTGTATCTTCTTTTTTCATCTACACTATTCACTTTATTCAATCGCATCATGGGCAAAACATGAAAAATCTTTACATTTTTTAACTTTTCTTTACCTCCGTGTCAAGTCAAAATTGGAAAAAAAAATTTTAAACGGAAGGAGTATTAAAAGTTAGGACTTAGGAGTAAGCCCTTTAAAATTTAAATTAACCAATTACGGAGCATAAAATTTATGCTACTCCGTATTTTAAAACAAATGCAGAGTTTCTACTTTAGACCGCGGTGCGTTTTATGGAAGGAAGTACGAAGGTGAAGTCTCTCGAAAGAACATGACACCGTTGCGCGTTAGGAAAGTCAATCCGGATTCAATTGACTCATTCCTTTCTTCTTAAGGAGACCCCCCCCCCAAATTTCCAATTATATAAATTCTCTGCCTCTATGAACAAGCTAAGCTGCAATTAATCAGACATCTTTGTTTGAGAGATAGCGTATAAGAAGAGGAAGAGGACGAAGATGATGACGTCAATTTTCAG